CAGAGCCAACCTCGATATGCCATGAGCCTAAAAAAAAAGTGACCTCCATTTTTGATCTGGCTGACACCCATGAGGCAGCATTACTTGACTGAGGAGAAGAGGAAGTTGCAGACACATGCTACTTATATATCATATGAAATGGAGATCAGGAGAGACAAATGCCTCCACTCTTTGAATTCCTTTGACTTGAGTCACCTGAGACATGTTGTCAACAGGAACTGTCCGCTTACATCAACATGAATATATCTTTTGGTTAGAACTAAAATGGAGAATCAAGCAGGTAAGGATACCAGGTGAGTGGGTAACAAAAGCTAGGAAGAAGTCTATAAAGTTCAGTGTACTAAATACTGTATGTCCTCTCATTTATCTTCTTTCAGCAATTCCTGCAGTTGTGTTCTGTTTTTCAGACTGCTACTTCTAAGGCCACAACACACCTCACGTTTGGTGGTGCTAACGAATTTAGTCTAACTAAATGTAACATTTTCTGGAGTAAAGTCTTGCAACCTGAGTTATTGAAATAATGTAAAAAAGGGGGGGAAAAAAAGTTTATTTCCAGGAACAAAACATCCCAAATTACACTGCTGTAACTATGTATCTCTGTTTGTAGTTGTGGCACAACTCAAGTTACCCTAGCCCTAGGGTGCTGTGCTACAACTGGCTTAACTCAAACCAAAACAAAAACACTAGGAAGCATTTCTAACCCTCCCAACCTGAACTGGACATTCCGTTTGCAGCCACAGAATGGGGATAACTCCACTTTTCTTAAGGGTTTATACCAGTCAGATCAGAGCTGACCAGACTCGTCACACACACCCCACGATAATTAGTGCTGGCACAAACGGCGGGTGGGAAGAGGCACCCGAGGCTGATGCCCCCAGCACCCTCCCATCAGTGCGAGCTGACTGAAACCAACTGATTAAACACCACAGCACAGGCTGTTCAGCAAAGCTAGGAATTAAATGTCTCACTGCAAAAATGTGAAAATACTAGCAGCTGGGGACTCGCAATGTCATGCAGCCTCACCAGGTATTTTCTGAGTGCACAGTACCAGGCCTATCAGGCATCAGCATTTTTTTCTGCTCTGGGGAATTCTGCAACTAAAAAATACATCCCAGGTGAATTCCTAAAATATTTTTTATTTCTAGTCATTTTGCCACCTTCACCCAATTTAATTCAAAGAAGAGCATTTATTACAACTGGTGAAAAATACAGAATAGTGTAGATGGTCCTGTAGAAGAAAATCTGTCAGAATTCTTGGCCACAGGAACGCTTCCCTCCTCAGTCCCCTCTTCGCAAAAGCCCACAGGATTTCATGCTATGGAAGAAAGCATTCCAATTACAGATCTATCTGTAATAGGAGAAGACTGATAAATAATATATAGAACAATGCAAGCTTGCATATTGTCTGCAAATGCTCTAATGCATTTCATAGTTAATTGGTAATAAAACAAGACATACTGCACTAACTTTCCCAGTATCTTAAAATACATTTTTGTACCTAACCCTGCCTTTACTAAATCTTTTTAAATAAATAAAAAAAAATGGTGGTACTTCCACTGCACAGAATCCTTTTGTGCAAGCACAGTTGCCATCATGCTGGCATTTTTCAATAGCAAATTTTTCACATTAGGCACAGTCATGGAGATAAGAGTATATTTTAGTCTTGCTTTTCCTCAAATTACTTAAATTTTTAATTCAGATTGGCCTGCAGAACCAACACATTCGAAACAGTTACCCTTTTTTCCCCAAAAAAAACACAGCTGTGCAATGAACACAGAGGTTTTAATTAAACTCTTTAATCCAAGATTTTTCTTTTCTATTTCATGCTCTTAAAAAAAGTCATCTTCCAACCCCCATACCACCTGTATTTCCTTGTTTCTATCTATAGTTTGCTATCATCTTCCCACTCTTTGAATATTTTTTTTAATGAATAGTTGTCCTACTCATAATCTTGCTCCTTCTGCTCCTATTTCTTTGTCACTGGTTGTCCTTTATGCTGCCATATGCACATTCCTCTGTGACTCCTCTCATCTTTTGTTTCCCACTTTCTAACTTCCTTTCCCACTGTTTCCACACTCTATTCTCCTCTATATTCCCTCCATCTCATCACTAGTAAAACAGGTTTACTCATTCTTCTGTCATCTAAACTCCTTTTTCCGTGTCTTTCCCTATCTCCCAGGTGTGCACGAAGGAGGTCTCTTCTGTCTCTGTTGCTTTCTCACATGCAGGACGTATTTTTGAAAAAGACAGAGAAGACCTGATCCTGTCCTGCACTTCTGTCCCCTAAGCAGCTGGCAGCCACTGCTGCACAAGCCACGGCCAGAGGGGAGCTGCTCTGTCTCTGCGGTGAGGAGCCAGCTCATCACAGGCCTACAGCCAGCTTCCAACTGTCCAAGTGTGAAGTTCCTATGATCACAGATCATCTGGGATGCCTTTCCTCTCAAAACCAGGTGACTCGGAGCCAAATTCTTTCATTTCAAAGGCACTAAAGGCTTGGTAGCTCTGAGTAGCTTTTGGGGAAAGTCACTGTGACAGTACTTCCACTTCAGCATGTCTTGATAAGAAGCCTTAGGAAAGAAAAAAAAACATCAAGTACTGGCAATTACACCTTTTATTCAACAGAACCTGCCAACTGCTGAACGTGGTTAACTGCAAGCACAGACAATGATAATTTACACTCACTGTCATTCTGGAGGCTAACTTCATTTTCAAAACTGCAAGTATAGGCATGGATAAGCTATGATCAGCATACTTCAACCAGATTCAACACCAGCCAAGCCTTTGTCAGCAGTGGTAACCTTCCAAGCAGAGAGAAGGCATTAATAGGGTCCACAACCATGGCCCAAAGGCTAGCTGAATACCTTGGCACCTCCTAAGCCTCTTCAAAGAGTCCTCTGAATATTAACTAATTAGACTTCTCTTATGTGAAAGAGAATGAATCAAGGCTCAATTTACCTGCCAAGACAACACACCCAGATTTGGAGGAGAAGAACAGTTAGCTGAAGTATCAAAATTATTGCATTTGGTATTAAAAAAGAGACCTGCCACTCACAGCTGTAGGGGTAATTCAGACAGACTAAATGTCAGATTTAAATTTAATTTTTAAGCAAGGCCTAATAGGTTTGGTAAGTTTCTAGATAGCCGATGAAAACATCAGAGTGCTTCCTAAGGAATATGGTATTGTACTAGGGAGGGGGAAGGAGTGCTTGGCTCACTGGATGGGGTGAGTACTTGGATTAATCACTCCCTGTCAGTATCACTACCTACAGGTATTTCTGTGGACACCAGTACAGAACACAGCAATTGAAAAAATATGCCTTATTCTAAACCTAAGGCAATTCATCAGCAAGCAAAACAATCCATGTATATCAAATTATGAAGATAACTAAACAGAAGTGTTAGACCAAGATTTTGAAGTGAGAACAAGGTGCCTTAAGTGGAAGACATGTAAAAATCTAACTTAAAGTGCTAGAACACACAGCTTGTGAATAATTATGTTTCCTCGAGCACATATTAAGCCTTTCCACTGTTAAGTTATCCACAGTAGAGTCTGAATTAATTGGGGAATCTGATCTAAACACTTTCTAAAATGGTTTACTATGTGACCTCCATACAGTCACATGGAGATTGAAAACCCCAGTCAGGTTTGGCATAGACTAAAACAATCATCCAAATAAACTCTGCATAGTATTTTGTAGAGTATATTTCAAATTCAACTCTCCCCATGGCATAGGAAGGGCTGCATAATATTTTAATTATTTTCTTCCACAAGACAGGAAGCTCATTGAGATTTTACAACCAAATATGCTTAGTTGGCTTTTTGCTCAATACAGCCCTTAGCCTGCAGGTTGCATGTAGTGCTAAAACAAATAAAGATCACAGAAGTTAGAAGTGCCTATTATGTCAATAAAATCTAAATCCCTAGTAATGCAGTAATTGTTCCATGCAGCATGTTTTCTAACGCTTTGTCTGGTCTTGTTTTAAACAATGGGGCTACCATCACTTTTCTCCGACTATTTATGGTCTGGAACAATCCAACAGTTTTTCCTGATCTTTAACCAAAGCTTCCACCTTTTATGCCAGTCCAAAACATAAGAAGCCCTTGCAAAAAAAAAAAATAGACTACAGTGAGTGACAACTCCCTTCTGTTTATCATTTGGGGACATGTCAGAGCCTATGCAGAAAAATGGTTAGACAGGATACACCAAGATCAAGGAAGTTTTAACTTAAGAAAAACACAGCTTCTATCTGCAGAAAGGGAGTCTCCCACAGAGCTTCGTTTGTTGCTATATGCTCATGTGGTAGGACTACTTATTTTTTTGTTCTTTCTTCCTTTAGCATACGACCTTTGCGACTGACTTAATCTTGTAAATAAAGTGTCAATTCCTAAACCTTGGCTTTGTCAAGGTAAAAAAAAAAAAGGGGGGGAGGTATTCGGTGTGAAGGGAACAGGCTCCCTTGCGCGAAGGGTAATTCCTATAAAGAAACCCTTCTAATGTCATCTGAACAGGTGACTAGCCTAACAGCGTCATTACCATCGAGAACCTTGCAAATTAAGCAGGGAAGAGGCCTATTATCTAGGTCACCTAGCCCACCACAGCCAAGCTGAATTATTCCCATCTGTTCACCACAGGTTTATTCGGGTGCTTCAGCAGTTAAGTTTGCATATGATGAGAAGGCAGCAGCCCCCCAGCAGATCCCCACCGCCGATCCCCGTTACCGACATAACCAACCCGATCCTCGCCACCCTGCGACACTCAAATAGTACAGGGGGAATTAAAGAGGGGACACCGGCTTTGGGAGGGGGAGGGATGCCCGCAAGCGCCACGGAGCCGGCGAACCGTGCTCTGGAGGGGTTAAAAAAATAATCAATTCAGAATAAATCGGCAATTTGGGCAGCGTAGAGGCGGCGGGCGGCTGCTGACAGCGCCCCGCGGGGCGATGCCCCCGCGGCGGGGCCGGGCGCGGTGCGGCGGGTCCCCCGCGGCCGCGGTACTCACGTTCTCGGTGTCGCGCTCGTTCACCGTGGGCAATGGAGTCCGAGTGGACATTTTCCCTCACTCGGGCGGCCGCGGCGGCGGCGCGCACAGACACACACACGGGCCCCGGGCTGCGCGTCTGCTCCGAGATGGTGGTCGCAGGGAGCCACCATGAAGGACGAGGTGCCTGGCGGGGGGCGGCGTCGCGTCGGTGCCCCCCCACTAGATCCTCCTCGGGGAGCGGAGCGGCCTCGCCCCCTCCGAGTCCTTCGGGCTCATCCTACAGCCGGGGTCCGCAGGGGTCAGCAGCGGGGAGGGGGCCGCCTCATCCAGCGGGGAGGGGATGGAGCCGAGGGAAGGGATGGAGCCGGGGAAAGGGAGGCGGCGAGGGAGCGGCTCCGGGGGGGAGGGGGTGAGCGCAGGGCGGGCGGGAGGAGGCGGCAGCGGGGCGCCGCGCAGCCCGGCTTCTCTCCACTGCCGCCGGGGCACGGCTAGCGCAGGCCCGCCGCCCGGGGGGCTGCCCTCTCCTTCCCCCGCCGCGGCCCCGCTTCACCGCGCCGCCGCTCGCATCGCGGCCCGCCCCAGGCTCCGAGAAGGCCGGCGCCCCGCGGGCTGCGGACGCTCGGTGGGTGCTCGCCCGCCCACCGCTCCTTCCCTGCCTGCCCCCCGCCCGCCCCGCCGCTGCCGCCGCCGCCGCCGCTCCCGGACGAGGCAAGATGGCCGCGCTGCTCCTCCGCGCCAGCCCAGCGCCGACATGAACCGGAAGGTCCCGCCCCTCGCCCGGCGTGTGCGGGGGCCTCGGGGCCGGGACCGGCCCTGCCCTCCGTGCCGGCCCGCGTCCTCCGGGGATCGGCCACTACCCGCTCGGGGATCGGCCGCTGCCCGCCCGGGGATCGGCCCCTGCCCTCCTTGCTGGCCCCGCGTCCTCCGGGGATCGGCCCCTGCCCTCCTTGCTGGCCCCGCGTCCTCCGGGGACCAGCTGCTGCCCTCCCTGCCGGCCCCCATGTCCTCTGAGGATCGGCCCCTGCCCTCCGTGCTTGCCCCTCTGTCCTCCGGGGATCGGAGCAGCCCCGGGGCGGCACAGCTTGGAGTGGGCTTCGCATTTTTGAGACCCCACCTGGAGCACTGCATACAGTTCTGGTGCCCCAATACAAGGAGGACATGGAGCTGTTGGAGCAAGTCCATAGGGGACCTCGAAGTTGATAAGGGGGCTGGAGCATTTCCCCTACAAAGATGAGAAAGTTGGGGCTGTTCAGTCTGGAAAAGGTTATGTGAGCAACTCAGCAACCTTCCAGTGTCTGAGAGGGGCTTACAGGGAAGCTAGAGAGGGACACTCCATCAACAGCTGTAGTGATAGGACAAACAGTAATGGGTGGAGAGTGAGAGGGGAAAATTAGATTAGATATTAGCAAGAAATGTTTTACCGTGAGGGTGGTGAGGCACCAGAAGAGGTTACTCAGAGAAGCTGTGGATGCCCCATCCCTGGAGGTGTTGAAGCCCAGTCTGGATGGGGCCCATGGCAGGAGGGTGGCACTGGGCTCTTCCAACCCCTTGACAGTCTCTGATTCTATGATTCCATAAAGAGCCCCTCAGGGAGCTGCAGCCCCCCTGGCGTGGGAGGAGATGTGGTGTCAGGTGGGCTGGGGAGTTCAGGTTTTGGGTGGCACCGTGGGGCAGAGGGGATGGTGAAATGGCAGATGTCCCTGCAGAGCCAGCCCTTACTGGGGAAGGGGACAGACCCCACTGCCCATTCACAGCCAGGGGAAGGGACACAGGCACGGATAGTCCAGGAATGGTCATCCGTGTTCAGGGTTCTGTCCTTGGGCCATCTGCCAAAGCATGTCCTTCGTCTTCTTGGGCTTTCCCAGCCCAGAGGATGGTGTGAGTTACAGAAGGGAGCTCACACCTGGCAGGGGTCTGAGGCTGGTGTTGGCAGATCTCACCTGGTGCCATCAGACATCCATACAGTGTTACAGCGCTATGTTTTCATACCAGCTTGATGCTTGGCTCATTTGTTGAAGGCGGGTGGAAGCCTGGGCTATCAAAACATTCTTTGTATATCCAGTAGTTACTCTGCATAATCCTTTTTAAGTCTATAAAGAAGACCTTGGTATAGTCATGAGAAGATCTAATTACAAATGAAAAACAAGAAAGAGAAATAACTTCTGTATATTCAGTATGTAGGCGGTTTAAAACCAAACTTATTTCTGTTTGGTTTTTATTTTTTTTTTAAACAGAAAAAAAATATGAACCTCTGTAGAAAAAAAAAATGCTGGCTCTGGTGGGATTTGTAGAAACTTGGCATATCTGCGGATCTGGCAGCCTAGCAGTAACATTTTGTCTTTCTAAAGTGGAAAGACTAAACTGGACTTCTAAACTTTATGGCTCTCATAAATATTTGCCAACTCAGCCCTGAAATCCATCCTACGATGTAGGCGATATTTCCCTTGCTTTTAGAGACATGAGCAAGGAAAGATGGCCTTTGCCACCCAATAAAGTTGCATGTCTGTTACTTTATCTTCAGGACTACAAAATGCTCCACAACATCTGACCTGCAGATTTTCCTTCCTAACTCTCTCCTTAAGCTGATGTTTTGCTCTGTGTTAATGACAGGAATTTTGGATTTCAGGACTCACCCCGTGCACAAATGTTTGTATTTCTGTGTGTACATGCACATCCATGTGTGTGTTTGCTGGGACAATACATACTCATAGTGGAGCCATTTTCCTTGGGAAGCAGGCAAGAACCTTTGCACAGAACAGGGAGTGGGATTTGTCTGTATCTGATTTGTCAAGGTCAATCACAAAGTCTAAAGGAAAGCCAGGAAGAGTATCCAGATCTCCTGACTCTGCTTTTGCTACAGGGCTGCTGCTTCATCTTTTTCTTTTTGGTTGCCAGTAGAATATGTTCTTTACAATGTGTTTGTAAAAAATTGTAATTGAGTTATGACAGAGTCAGAAAAAGGGCAGAAAATCGGGCAGAGGTTTCTTTGGGTTGTTACCCAGCCTAGTGCTTTCACCCTGCACTCATGGGCACTCCAGCCAGCATGGGAAGGCTGAGCTGCCCACATTGGAGCGATTGACAGGGTGTGAGAAGTACACGTAATGCTGTTTGCACCTACAAGTGTGCCTGTCCTGATCTGTGGAAGTTCTGTGCACAGGCATGAGGAGGCATTAAACTTAGCATTGTGTTTTACATACTTGCATTTCTGCTCCGTGGTAGTCACTCCGATAAAATCTGAACTGTACAGTGGTGGATAGTCAGATGAAATTCCCAGGCCTGTTGATACAGTAGGACTTCCACTATTGCCCTTGATATGGCCTGCATTTAATACTTGCAGTCCAAATTTAAAAGGGCTGGGAAAGAGACATAGGGAGCAGGGGAACTGTGAAGGATGACTGTATCTTTCAGAGTCATGTTTTTATTGGCAAAGGATTTTGAAGTGAGAACTTCTGAAGAAGTGCTTGAGACCACAAAAATAACAGTAGCTGATTTTGCTATTTTATTGCCATTAAATGACAACATTGATTACGTCTGGTTTTACTGTGTAGCAAAACTTGCACAGGGAATGACAAACTGCGTAGCAGGTGCTTTCTTCTACATTTCATTGTTGCTATATTCTGCTTCTCCCATTTAAACGGATGAGTTAATTTCAAAATGTATTCATATTCTTCTTAGAAATTGGGCCATAGAAAAAAGCTGATTGTATGGGTTTTGTCTTTCCTTGTTGTCCATAAATATTCTGTGTGTTATCAGGTGCTACTTAAGCCACATTCACAAATCAGGAGGTGATTTCTTTTCCTATATAAAGGTTTTGAAACTCAGAAAGCAGTCTGATAATCCTATCATGCTTTCTGGTTCTTGTGCCATCACTAGTGATAGTGGCAGTGATTTTGCAAGGGGAACTTAGATGATAATGTTTGTATGTTACCAGAATAGGCTGCAATTTATTTTTTGAGCTGTACTGGCTACAGTGCTAGCAGTTATAAAAAGTTGGTTTTGGCAGTAGAGCTGGAGAATATGACTCAAAAACATACAGGAAGCAGATTCTGCTAGTTAAAGTGCTTTTTTTATGTCACTCATCTGGCTGCCACCTCACAGAGAAAACAATAGGATACAGAATGACATCACTGTGGTGAAGAATTTAGAATTTTTTTCTTCTGGACATTAAAAGCCACACTAAAAACCTCTTAACACTGCACTGCACAGAGTAGACTCCAGCAGCATTTGCAGTCAGAGCAAGAAAATATTGAACTTGATTACAATTGCTGGGCAAAACATAAGGATTAAGTTTAATGTATTCATATGCACAGGTTTTGAGTCTTAATTCTGGAATAAGGATTACAAATGCAGAACTGACTGAGGAATTTGTATTCCACTCACCGGTCTTTAAAGACTGGGGACTGAAAGACATCAGTTGGTAGAGACAAGTAGAGAATCAGCTAATGCCATTGTTGTAGGTGCTTTGTTGTGTTCTGCAGCTATGACAGTGCTTACCAGCTGGGAATGTGCCCAGGTGTTAAATCATTTTAGTTTATACAAAAATTCCAGTTTAGATTGATAGTCATTAAATCTGAGGAAACTTTTTGTTTTTTCCTTAAGCCTTTGAAAAACATATTTTAAAATATGTTATATCTGCTGGGATATAGCTATTATTATTCATTCTTATTCCAATGCCTTTTTTCTTTTTCTTGCAGAAATTCTAAGGCAATTCCTTGCAGTGAAGAATTTCCAGGACTGTTTTATCATTAATATTGTCTTTAGAATTGAAGTCATTCCTTGCATTTGAAATTAGTATTTGTATTTGGTTTTAAAATCTTAACTTCCAGACAATACATTATCTTAACAGTGTTTTATTGTAGGAAGAAGTGTGTGATTTTTAAAATGTCAATGACAAAGCTATTGATAGAAAAGGACTGATTACTGTCTGCAACCTGAATCAATAGTCTATGCTCTATTATGATGAGGCCCAAGTGCAACTTGCTGCAGGGCCAGCGCAAAATGTGGTGTTGACAGCAGAGAAAACATTGAAAGGGAAAAGATCTTCCTTCTCAGCTTCGTGTCAAGCAGAGACTGAGATCTGAGAGGTGGGAGAAGATTTTGCATGTGTTGACTTCTCCCTCTGGTCCATACAAGTGCCTGAGGACAGCAGAGTGGCCGTGGCACTGGAACTGCTCTGCATTCCTCAGTGAGGAGAGGTTCAGGTGCTGGGCTGCAGCTGTGGGCAAACAGTGGTGGTTCCTGAACTGCATACCTCATTTAACTCCCTTCCTGTAGGGCCATGCTGTGCAGAGCCGTATAGTGTGGTGCATGACATGTGAACCTTCATGATGGGATCTCTATCAAGTGCCCGAACTGCACTGATTCCACTGCCATTTGACGCAAATGCCTGTATGGATCATAGCTCCAGGACAGAATCACAGTGCTGCAGAGAGCTGGGTGAGA